ATGCAGGGGAGGAAAGTTAGGAGTATTTACTGTATTATTAGGTACTGCTAAATTGCTCTTCAAAAACACTGTAACTATGTACACTCTCATAAACTGCTGTTTCTTTTTTTTCTTTTCAATATTTTTAGTTGTAGTTGGATACAATACCTTTTATTCTATTTATTTCTTTTTTAGGTAGTGCTGAGGATGGAACCCAGTGCCTCACATGTGCTAGGCAAGTGCTCTACCACTTAGCTACAACACCAGCCCCTAAAAATTCCTGTTTCTTATATCTTTACGAGAACTATAATAATTACCATTTCAGTTTTTGATGTATGATAAGTAAAAAATAAGAAGGTATCATGTAGACATTCTCACACTTTAATTTACTTATGAGTTAGTGTTAAATTGACCTTCTCTTTGGGTATTTATTGAATCTTTTACCAATAGCTCCTTCTGTATTTCTGCAGTCTATTTTTCTATTGGACTTTTTTCTTAGTGATTTTTAGAAACTCTTGATTTATTAAGGAGATTATGTTATATTGTCAAGGGCAGCTTAGGCCATACTTTACTAAGTGTCTAAGTGCTTCTTTGTGAAGACAGTTAGTTACTTTTAAATAAGAAAAAGTGAATCCAATGCCCTCCCCCTTAAGATCTAAGTCAGAGCCAAGGCTCTCATCCCCCTAAAGCTAGGAGGTAAGAAGAATGTTTCTGTGGTTTAATGTGACTGCCCCAGGCTACATATCCCTTGGCATGTTGAATCAAAGATTGCTGAAACAGCCAGATAAATTTGCAGAGGCACCAGAAAGCCTCCAGGAGGTTATATTGTCACCTACCCAATTCCTTCATCTGTAGTGTGCAGTTTAAAAATATTATAAACAGAAGTCCCTCCTTTGTGCAACAGGCTGCAGGGGGTGAATTGGGAGCAAACTGGTGGCAAACTGAAGAACTATCCCTGGCTTGGGCCAGCCCTCAGAGTTGAACATGTGAAGAACCCAGGGCCAGAGTAGGCACAGGTTAACAAACTGTGCAATGCCGGTGTTCAGCAGTGACACTATGTGCCAGCAACGAAGTGACTGAAGTGGGCAAGATGCTGTGAACTGAGTAAACTCACCATTTCTCTCTTTGCCTGCAGTCAGATATCTTTTTATTTTTATTTTTTGTAGTTGTAGATGGACAGAATGCCTTTATTTTATTTGTTTATTTTTATGTGGTGCTGAGGATCGAACCCAGTGCCTCACACATGCTAGGCAAGCGCTCTACCACTGATCCTTAGCCACAGCCCCTGCAGTCAGACATCTTTAGAGTTCTTGGACAATCCGGAGTTGGGAAAGGAAGTGATATTGGGCATCCTGGTAATTTGGTCCAAGGGATTTGTTGAATAATTGGAACTTCATACTTGAGAGACACATTCCACCAATTGCAAGATGTGTGTGGCAAAGGTTAACTTTGTCTTCCATTCTGGATTTTTTTTTTTTTTTAGCACTATTGAATGTCATATAGAGTTTAAAAATATTATCTATCAATTACCTCCTTTGTTAGTTCTGTTTTGTAACAAGAAAGTTCTCTCTACTGCAAGACATTATATGTGTGAGACATAGATATACAGATTATAACAGAAAAACTGTGAAGGACTCTGAAGGGGATGGAGAATTACTGGGTAAACTTTCAGGGAATACTCCACAGCCTTCAAGGTTACCTGAAGGACACCTGTGGAATAATGGATGCTCAGGATGGAGTGAATAACCAAGAGCTACCGTAGTAAATTAACTACAGCCTTCCAGTCTCATTATCAAACAGGTTTCTGCTTCTTGAAACTCGCCTGAGTTTCTGTTATAAACTACAGGCCAAAATCTTGTTCTTCAGCAAAGAAAGAGGGCCCCAGAGACTCATGGAAAAGGACTGTGTGAAAGTACCTTAAAGAATCGACACTCTTGGGTACAAGCTCTAAGCTGATACTTAGATGACATTCAGTCTGTACCTGTGGAGCAAGTGTTTTTCCAGGACTGTTTAATCTAGAAGGAGACAGCTTTATGAAAGCAGAATGCTAATCCAAGATCTAGCAGAACAAAATTATAAGGACAAAATGACCTGAGGAGGAATATTTTATTGTGACTATGTTTTAATGCTCTATTTTCTGGGTATATAAGGAAGCCATTTATCTTTCTTCTTAAACTATCTTGAGAAGATTCAACTGACTTTGCTTTTATAAAGTGAAATTAAACATTTTTTTTTTCTGTTTCTCACTGAACTCTCCTCCAGCCCTGAATGGAAAACTACAACTGAGTCCCTTATTTTTACATAGCAATGTTTTTAGTTACATAAATTCAACTGCCTCTCTCCCTTTTCCTGCATATAATTGGATAAAATTGATTGTATTAACCCTGGCCTTCCTTGGAATGTCATATTTGAGAATTATGGTCATTTAACTGGTGTCAAACAACCCCAAGGAGTAAAGGTTGATCTTTACTTATAAAGCCAATGCCTACAAAACACTCCCAGAAAAACTGGCCTAGGACCAAAGTCATAACGGCATAACCAATAGCTTAGTTCCAAATGTAGCGTACCAACCTTACAGGTAGTAAGAACGGGAACTTCCTGGTAAGCCAGGGATTTAGCAAATTTGGGGGAACTCAAGTAAAGACGAATTTATTCAAATTTACAGATAGTACTGTTGAAATGTGGTAGTTTCTTGGGCTTGTTTTCCTAGACTTGAACTAGGAAAGAGTAGATTTTTAAATGTACAATTCTGTGGCTCCAGCAGCAATTCAATACTGCATAGTTTTAGATTGCAAGCAAACTCACGGAAGCCTATACAGTTAATTGACACTCACTGCTCCTATGCAAATAAGTAGGTCAAACTTAATGAGACCAGCCTTCCTATGACTAAGAATAATCATTGAGACTTTTATGGTAACAAAGGGGGAAGTTGTTAAGGAAAAAAAAAATAGCTTTTAAAGAGGAAAAGAAAAGATTACTGGATGTACTTTAAATATTAGGTGTCTTTTCTGGGTCACTTGATTGTACACAGGTCTCCCTCCCTCCCTCCTTCCTTCCCTCCCTCTCTTCCTTCCTTCCATCTCTCCTCTTCCTTTTCAGGCCTTTGAACTACTTTATAATCCTATACTTTATAGCAAACTGATAGAAATGGAGATTACTGTCTAGAGAAACACATGAATTCTGTCGGAGATGCAGCTGATTTTCCTCTGTGGACAACTAGTTTTGCATCTATTAGCAAATTTGTTTCAGCATTCCTGATTGCTTCTATAATATATCTGTTCTTTGAATTCTCCTTTGAACCATTTTTTAAACATCTTGTTCCTTCATTAATAATAAGCTAAATAAAAAAGCTTGACACAATTATAATTTTTCATACTTGTAAAGAGTAGATCTATTACATGTCTTGTTTAAAATCTTAAATATATTTTGAGTTCTCTTTAGGGGCAATATAGAGATCTAGTTTTATTTTCTTCAAAAACTAGGCATGTTGTCCCCATTTATTAGATAACCTTTATTTCCCCCACTGATTTAAAAGGCCACCTTTTTAGTATTATTTGGGTCATTTATGTGCATTCTATTTTGATCTATTTATTTCTATACTAGTACAAATCTTTTTTAAGTGCTATAGCTTTACAATACATTTTGATGATTTGGCAGGTTATTTTGATGTTCTACTGAACCTCCCAAGGAAGAGTAGATTGTTCTACAATTTTAGTCTAACCCTTTTCAGACCATATTAAACCAAGCAGAACACAATTATCAATCTCAAAAATAAGCAAACAGGGCCTCTTGAATTGCAAAGGTCTCACTAAGCCCATCGTTTGTTTCATAAGGAGAGGCAGGATAACCCTTATCCACCATGTATATGTTCCATGGGGCAGAATAAAGGTGTACAGTATTGGCAGGCAGGCATGAAGTGACAGTGGAAAAAGCCAGAATGATCAAAAGATATGCAGAATTCAAACAAAATGCTCAGATTCTCACTAACCTTTTCAACGTGTGATTTTTTTACCACTGCTTAGGTTTGAAAGTGATAATTACACACTTTGCCTTTGGGATTTTGATCAATTAAGAAGTAGACACAAGAGGCATGGAAGGATAAAAATATCAGCTTTATTCCTAATAAAGCTAGACTGGAGTATGTGACTTGGACTCTGTTCCTTGTTTCCACCTTGAGATGCACATGTGTGCTGATGGGCCCTGCCCCATGGGCTGTCATCATCTGAGCAGCCCAGGGAGAATCAAGGTGAGCCTCACACCCAGTTACACCAAGAAACGCCCAGCCTAGTCTTGCACTGACTGTGCTTACAAGAAGAATCTGTTCATCAGACCCTGACTGTGTTGGTCCTCTGAGAAAACTTCTCTGAGATCTTGGGATGAAACAGGTGATGGGAAGGAAAAGGCAAAACTCAGTGGTTTCTCCCCTCCTGGTTCCCAGGGAAACACAGGTGTTGGCAGAATATCCCATTTTATGGCAGCTGCAGTGTGGGTAGTGTTCCTTCTACAGCACAGGACAGAAATGGACACTCCTAAAGATGAACCTGAGTTAAAAAAGAAAACATTGTCTCCAAACTACTCTGAGTAGGAAGAATGTGACATACCTATATATGTCAGACCAAATGGGTTTCTATCAGAACTTTTTTATTTTGATGGTGGAATGAGATGGTCATCATTTTGCAAAGTTCATGTATGAAGACACGAATTGGTATGAATATACTTTGTATACAACCACAGATATGAACAATTGTGCTCTATATGTGTAATATGAATGGTAATGCTTTCCACTGTCATGTGTAAATTAAAAATTAATTAATTAATTAATTTTTTAAAAAGGTGGGAATCTTAAAATATAAGCTTCCATGATCAAAAACAATGAGGAATGTGCACGTGCGCGCGCGCGCGCGCACACACACACACACACACACACACTTTTCTCCAGTGGCTCTAAATAGGGTATATAATACTCAACTGCCCCCCATTTCAGCACTGCATCCCCAAAGAACCAAGACAAGACTTCTAAGTACTTTTAGTTCACATTTTTACTGTTTAAAAACTATGTTAACAGAGCAGTTATAGAACAGAACTCCTTACATTTCTTTATTTACACCACACCCTGAAAAAGAAAACAAAACTCTCTATTTGCTTAACTGTGAATAGCAAAGTTTTGTGATTCGTGACCCAAATGACCCATCTGAAATTCATTTACAAGGTTTTTACATTAATAGAACAGTGGTGTGCTACACATACCAGACTCAGATGAAGTCTAAAATACACTGGACTCCAGAGAATGGATTACGAACCAACAATTAGGATTCAAGTGTTTTGGGGAAAAACACTTACATAAGAGACTATGTCGGCCTCAACACTAAAATAAAAAGCAAACATGCAACTTTCAAAACTTGATAAAATAACTTTTTTTCCCTTCAAATTTGTGCTCATAGTTAATATTCAGTCCCCCCACCCATACTCCCCACACCAAGATCCCAAAGTTTGGGAAATGTAGCAATTCAGTTTTGGGAAAACAAAAAACAAAAACATTCTCCTAACTCCTGTTTTCGTAAATACTGCATAGTGGCATCAATGTTAAACAGCAAAAGAATTTTATTAAGAAACAATCTGTCATTTAGGGTTTATCTATTTTTATATGACAGTGATTGGGGTCTAAATACTCTTGTAGCTCAGAGAACTATCATTTAAACAAGTGATTTTAATACCAGCACAAAAAAAAAAATCAAAACAGCTATTTCTCAGACATTTCTTTTTCTAAACAATTAAGTAAGGTTTTAGGTTCCAAGTTTATACTGAGAGAATTATGTTACCTGGGATAGAATGTAAAATTGTTTTAATTCTCAAACAAAACCACTAATATCTATGAAAACATTTATTCTTTATATGCAGATACTAGTGACTTCTATTTCAGTGTGGATCAACAACTGCAAAAATATACAGCCTATTTATTTACAATATATTTATATACAAATGAAGCATTCCTACAATAAGCCTCAGCTGCATAGATTCTTCCTTAAAAACACAAATTTCAGCCTGTATACAAATAGGCCCAGTTTTCAGGGCCTTCCTCAGAGAAAACCCCAAAGGAGAATGTCTGCATCCTTGCAAATCTTACATTGTTTTCTAAGAACTCTCTTTTGATTCTGATATTTTTCAGTTGTTAGCCACCCCACCCCCAATTTGTACCTGAAAGCCTTATATCATTATAAAAAATTCACTCTATTTTAGAGGAAGTATGTTCTGTTGCTAACAAAGTTTGAGATCTGCCATCCTTAAGGAAAACCATTTGAGTACTGCTAAATGATGTCATCTGGATTGTTGTTTTGAAAGTTGCTGGACATTTGCTTGAGGGAGGGAATTAGTCTTAAAGTCTCTGCCCTTTCTAAGCCCCAAGTCATTTAAACTGAAAAATGGAGGGAAGGTTTTTCTCCAAGGCACAAAATCAAATATCCAGTATTATCACCACCTTCTACCCACCCCAATTACTAGTGCCCTCCACTGCTGGGCTACACTGCAATGGAGCCAAATTGCTACTTTTCAGAGCAGTTTGTAGTTCCTTTAGCAGTGTAGACCTATCAGGAAAGAATTCACTTTATTTATTTTTGCCACATTGTGGATAGAACCCAGGGCCTTGTGCATGCTAGGCAAGTGCTCTACCACTGACTGCGAATTCACTTTAAAAGGAGGACAGGATTGATGGCCCCACGAAACACTCTGTGGCAAACTGACTTCTGACACAAATTCAGTATTTCCTCCAAGGTTACATTTACAAAAGGGATTTTCTTTTAATTTCCCTTAAAAAAAGAAAAAAGAAAAGAAAAAAAAGGGAAAAAAGCGCCTTACTTTGATTTCTTCACAGCTATAAAAATGTCATCCTCACTGCGCCTTACCTGAAGTAACCCTAAGTGTAGTTTTGGAGTGTGCACCTGCACCGGTAATTCTGGAGGGAGGGGGCACAGCGGGTGGCAGCAAGAGATTCCTTTGCTTTTCCTGCCATTGCAGAGTCACTGAGGTGCTTTCCTCCCCTCCCTGTCTGGGCTCCCATTTTTTTTTTGCCTGGAAACTATCTTCTGAAGTAGGACTCATGGAGAGAACTAATTAGTCCAGAGCGGTTCTTAAACTTGATGTGCATTAGCATCACCTGGAGGCCTTGTTCAGATTGCTGCCCCTTTCTGAGAGTGGCCAATTTCACTGTCTGAAGCCGGGCCCCGGAATGTACATTCTAACAGGTTCATGCATGATGCTGATGCTGCTGGTCTGGGGGATGCACTTTGAGAACCACTAGCTTGGAGGCTTGAGTCCAGCTCCAGGAAGAAGTCTCTCTTGGCAGTTACAGAGGTGTCCTCTAAGATGCTGAGGAATTTTACCAAGCCCTTTGCCTACCTCCACCCCCTAACTGATGTGTACCTTTCTTTTTTTTTTCAACAGGGTGTATGTGAAAAGGAAAGTGGAGACTTTTTACCCTTCCTGCGGTTACTGGGCAATTAAACTGCAATCAAGGATACTAAGGCTATTCCAAGTGTCATGTGCTGGCCTCCACCACACCCTGGCACATAGGAAAAGCTATGCAGCGATGTCCTTTTCTGCAGTGGGCTGGAAAGGAGGTGAATTCCCATGAGCAAAAGAAGTCCAGCCTGAGACCCCGGATGAAAGAAAAGGCACCAGCTGAGGAACACTTACAACCACCCCCCCCAGGCCCCTCATCCTGCTTCCCCTCCTCCTACCCCCAGGCTTTCTGGACTTTTTCTCCCTCATCTTTGCTGGAAACCATTATTCGGTCCAGCAGGTGATATGTGGCTGAGATGAACAGTCTAGATTCCACTAGCAACAGGCAGAGATGTTCTTGACAGCTCTGAACAAACACCCCCAGGAACCAATCGTATTTGGTGGCTTGGTTCCTTTTGCAGTCATATTAAATTATTCAATTTCAGCTAAACTATGGGTCTGATAATCATTTCTAGCTGGTCTGGGGGCCTAACCTGATTTCTAAAGGAAAATACATTCCAGGTTGCAAACAACCCACAAAGTTTCACAATATGAATTCCTTATAACTGGTGGCTACCTATGCCTAAAAAGAGTAGATTTTCTTCCTGTGCATGTTTTGCTACCCCCACTTCCAATAAGTGACATGAAGTAAATTAGGGATTTATAGTATTCTGTGTTACCATAACCAGAGAACAGTTCTAAATCCACAGTATGAAACTGACACTGTTCACTAGTATAGAGATCCTATCTACCAAAGGAAAACGTGCTGCTTCCTCTGGCTAAGATACAGTATCTTTAGTCTACTAATTTAGCAGAAAAACATCTATAGCACTTGACTTGTGCTGCTTAAGTTCTACCTAACATCTGCAATACATGTTATTTTTTGGATACCAGTGCACTATTTTGAATAAGAATAGCAGTACAATTCATAGTGAATTCCATACAAGTCATATAATCAGTTAATATTTGACAAATTACAGTAGGGTCTATTATAGTCAGTTAACAACCAACTAAACTTACAAAGAAAGGTTGAAAAATGTGAATAACAGACATCAACAATAATGTGCTTCCTCTAAATAAATATATCTTAAATAACAAATTTCTTATACTGACACACAAAATCCAGAGATCCAAAGAATATCACTACACATCCCAGAATTAATAATTTTCTGAATTCACTTTGTGAATATAAAATGAACTAAGTAATGAAGAAAATAGAAAGATGCATAGTAGTATAGCTTGCAAACTAAATTATGTATTATTATTTTTTTAATGTAGGGTCATCCCATTCTCTGACTATTTCATTACTTGGTGTCCAGACAACTTCCAAAAGCCAACTAAATCTTGCTTTGCTCAGTTTCTAGCATTGCTCATGTTAACATGGAAACCACTTCTGAAAAGGACAAGATGGCTGTGGACTTACTAGGTTAAGGTACTGGGATCTGGGTCAGGCGATCAAATTCAGTTGCCTGAACTCTGACTCCATACGAATGTCATTCTGTAGTATTACATTAAAAGCTATGATGGTGTAAAGCAGGAAATAACCTTTTATTCTCCTCCAAGAGGATTGTGACATGTGCTTTGATGCCTGTCTTATCTACAGACATTAGTTTGTAAAAAAAAAAAAAAAAAAAAGGGGGGGGGCGGGGGGGGGACAGTTCCCTGTGACTGACTCTCAGTGACAGCAAAGCCCTTTGGGGAGTCAGGGTGGAAGGAACAGAAGCCAGAGCTAAGTGCCTGGAAACTCTGCCAACCATCTGTGGTTAGATTCTACTTATCTCCAGATAAGAAATCTGTGCTCGGTGAACTTACACGTTTAGAAAATGCAACCAGAATACATATAGATAAGGCATAAGCCCTGTTTCAAGAGACCAGCTCAGAGAGCATGCACATTTCTTACCATTCATAAGACAGGGACATGCCAATCACAAGTGATGGGATGGCCCAGCTTTGGGGGTTGCTATCTGGGTGTCCTTTGTGTCCCCCATTCCTGTTCCAGCTACCTTGTCACAAGCTCTCTCATTTCATCTCTTCATAGTTTCTTTTCACTCCCTTTAGGAGAGGGACTGAGTAAGAGTTTGGGGCAACTCTATGCTGCACAAACCACGCTGAGATGAACAGTAATGAGAAGAGAGACAGCGTGGGCACTGAGGCCCTCGTCTTCCCTGTGGGGAAAAGGAAGGTACACAGTGATTTCACCAAAGGTTCTTCACAAAGACTCTCTGAAAGCTTATTTTCAAGACTGGATGGAAAGTTAATGGAGAAGAAAGAGAAATGAGGCTTATTTGAGGTACAAAAATCTTGTATTTGTAATAACCTAGATTTATTATATAAAACAAGTCTATTAAAGACTCTCCTAAAGTACCCAATATAAAATAGGAATTACCCTAGATAGTCCTTAGTTAGGGACACATTATTCTCTATGACAAAAAGCTGGTGGACATGACTAAATAAATGCTGCTGGGCTTATAAATTCAATAAAACATTTCCCTCACTTCAATGATACAGGTGTAGAGTTAAAGGCTATCTACTTCAGAGGAGTATTTTCTTAGGCATCTTGAACAATCTTTTTATGGGAGGTACCAGGGGTCTCCCCCAGTAGAAGCTCACTTAGCCTAGAGGAACTCTGACCTAAGATTCTAAAAGAAAAAAACCAAAAAACTTCATTTGCAAGATTAGATAAATGTGTAGTTTAATATATTGATGAAGGTATTATTCCAACCCCTTCCTATCTGAGGACACTCACAAGGGAATATCTTTCATGGGAGCAGTATGTTGTACCTGCTAGGCAGCTGGACAGCCCTGATCTGAGCTGCCTCAAACAATGGGCGTGCTCAGATTAGGCAATGGCACGTGCCCTGTGACTCCCATATGATTAACTTGGTGTGCTATGTCAACCAAAATAGGCAAATTATTTACGAAAAACTGGTTTTTTCCTATAAAGCAAAATAAATATATACAATTCAAGATTCTTTTCTAAAAAGATCCAGATAGTGTGAGCTGAACATCAGTAGGAAAATTATCTCAGAACCTGGATATGTAATAAGTCAACACGATTGATGATCATGTTTTCAAAGTTCTAAGAGACTACAAAGCCACAAAAACAGAGTTAGGAGAATGGAAAATAACTGACTTGAAAAGTACTTTATAATATAAGTGCATGAAATTTGGGGGATGGGGGGAAGGTCCACCATTCCTAAAGAGATCCTAAATGTTGGAGGGGCACGAACTGTTACAGAAACAGGTCTCCAATTTGCAACCAAAGTGCTGTTCCATTTTAAGTATCTTGTACTTTTCTGTTGTTTCTATGAACTTGCAAAAGAAGTGATGAGGAATTGCTGATGTGTGGAGACTTGATGAGCAGCAGACCGGAATGCTTTCTTTTCCGGCTGGTCTCAGTGGCCTTCGTCACTACCGGATGAGCAGGCCCAGTCATAGATGACCAAGGGGATGCTGACCAAGGAGAACAGTACCCCCAGGCCCAAAAAGAGGGCCGCCTGGAGCAATAAAAAAGACATGGATTATTTTCAATGCCGTTGACCTTTTCCATATGCACCTGGGAAAAAAATAGAAATTTTTTTCCCCTCTCCCTTTGTGTCCCCTTTTAGTTGGAGTTTGTTACAACCATTGCTGAATGGTGAGACTCTACAATTGTGTGAATCTGATTCTGCAAGAATGGGAAAATAAGAAAAATAAGCTAAGCACAGCCGTCCTCTACATTCTGTTCTTTAACTTCATGGTCACCTCAAATGTATCCAGTCTACAAATGACTGGGTATCCTTAGAGCTTTTTTCTCAAAGTAAGATTATAATTTAAAAAGAAAAAAAAAATCCAGGTCATTGTGGTACTTGTTGCCTACCAACCTAAATTATCACTGGCAGGCAGACCCTTTCTGTTTGAAAAAATGGAATAAATATAAGCAAAAGCAAAGTAGATTTGATCAAGTGAGATCAGAAACAAGTGTCAAAAACTAAATTACTTGGAGGGTTGATGAAGGCCACAGGTGGACAGGTTACTAAGTTCATCATCTGGAGAACTGGTGATTATAAGTTGTTTGGCCTTGAGAAAAGTAAGTGAGTTTTGCAGGGGAAGATGAAGCCATATGAGAGCCAAGGGCTAGCCTGGGAACTTGGAGGTAGAAGAGGTAAGGGAAGGAGATGAGGCAAATGGTGGAGCTGATCCGTCTAACTCCCAGTAGTCCCTACACGGAGCCCTTGCCTAATGCTATTTGGTAGATGCAGTTTTATCATGGGAGTGTGAATGGAGAGGCCCAGAGAATTTACAGACAACAGGCCTTCATCATTTGCACCAGTTCCATCTTAGGATATTTCATGATGGTGCCACAGTGAATTCTCCTTCCTTTCTGTTCTTGGGAAGATCCTATAGGTAAAGGCCTAAAAGGATTTGGAGTTTATGGCTTCAGGGATAAACTAGATGCTCTACCAACATCAATGATGTTTCTAAATGCATAGGGATGGTCCCTCCTGCCTCTGGGTCTGTTGACTCAGGTAACATGTGCAATTACAGTGCTTACACTATCTGGGAGGGCAGCTGAGAAGCCTTCTTCGAGGCCAAGCAAAATGGTGCTCCAGAAGGGACTCATGTAGCAGCCACTTCACCCCTGCTTCCCTCACTGTCTCCAAGTGCACCACCTTCAAGATGCCCTTGAACTTCACCAGACCTGGAAACAAGAATCCCAATATAGAAAGGTAGTTTTTGAATCCAGGTCTGCTTGCTCCAAAGCATTTCTGTCAAGTCATAAAAAGGCTCTTTAAACTAATTCAGACATTTCATTTAAGGCACTGCCTATGCCCTGGGTTGTAGGAAGGAGTTAGTTATGTGACTAGAAATCATGCAGAAACAGAAGACTGCATCCAATCTTTGAGTCTCTCCACTTCATATCTCGCTAAAGAGAGGCATCACACCCTATGGAGTCACAGGAGTAGAAACACCCATCTCCTGGCTAGCTGGATCAGAGTAAAAGCTAATGCACAATAAGAGTAAAAAATGGAAAAGATATTTTGAGGGAATGGAGAAGATATGATTTGAAATTTTACATATCCCCAAGGGGAAAACTATAGGGCTAATGCCTCCCTTCAAGGCTACTAAAAGTAGTTTAAGATGGTAGAGAGATGAACTATTTATTTGCCAAATTCAAATGGAAAGCTAATCAGAAAATTAGAGTGGTTGGCAAGAGACATACCCAGATTCTTTGAGTGCCTTTATCTCCATCCTGGTTTGTGATTTTTAAATAAAGAGATGAAGGAAGAATGAAAATAAGCATATTAGCAGATGTAACTCCTGCAAAGAAAAAAAAAAAAAAAGAAGGCAGGTTAGGATTTTCTTATGCAATTTTAACTTTAAACAGCTGCAGTATGTTGTGGAATGATAGGTGGAAAGTCATAAAGCCATACCTACGACTCCAAAAATATCCTTCATGGAGGGTATGAAGATCACCAGCAAGTTGATGATAACCAAGAGTATGAAGGTAACCAAGACATGACGACATAAATTAAACTTTGTTTTCTTAGCCAGTTCAAATAAAGATGAACGAACCTGTAGGAAAAGAAAGTAAGATTCTGTAAGGGCCTAAGCAGAACACTAAACTTCACATTTCTCAGTAGAATAACTGATTTATTGCTGCACAGGAATCTGTGGAATGTTTCATAATGCCTTGTGAATTTTGAGATAGCTTAACAGTTTTGGACGTATGGGGCTTGACTTCAACTGCCAAGTATTTGCATATATGAACAGTAAGAGTTTTCCTTTGGGGTGGGTAATTCATTTGCTTTAACTAAGATCTGAGTGTTCTCTTCTGGTCTTTCTACATCCTCTCATCATGTATGCCTGACATTCAACCATTCCACCTACAGAGGGCTGGGGTTGTAGCTCAGTGGTAGAGCGCTTGCCTAGCATGTGTGAGGCACTGGGTTCGATCCTCAGCACCACATAAATCTAAATAATAAATAAAATGAAGATATTGTGTCTATCTACAACTAAAAAAAAAAAAAAAAGATTCCATCTACAGAGGGTACACTAGCTCACAGATCCCACTTACTGTCCCAAGAGCACGGAGCCTCTCAGACTCTTTCAATGACTAGGGAAGTCACCTAGGCAGGCTTTTTCTGGAACAGGGTTCTGAAGGCAAAAAAGAAAGGCAAGACCCCAGCTTTTTTCAGATGACACTGAGGCCTTTTACTTACTGTGAAAAATAACACCGGCACGGTAAGGATGACAGCAACAATGACAGCTAGCCGCACTGTCAGGATGAGAATGTCATCTTTGCTCTGGTACTTGTGAAGGAGGTCTGAATGCACATTGTCTACAGGGAGGGAAAAGCAAGAGGGTTTTAGAAGGAGACAAAGGGTTGTGCTGAATGAGTTCTTGGGAACTACCAAGAATTTGTAAACCAAAGGGTAAAGAAATATCTGTTAAAACCATTTATAAAGTTGAAAAACAAAAAAAACACCCCTATGTGAGAGAGACATGCTCCAGCGTTCATGTGTACCTTTAGCTGAAAAGAATGCAAAGCAATCACTAGAAGAAGGTGCATGGAGCAGGGCTGCTTCACTGAAACTAATTAACCTGCATGGCTGAGGCACAAGCCCCTCCAAATCTACAGACTCCCCCGACTGAGAGCTACTCTCCAAGCTACAACGACTAGCTGCAGTCTTCCTAGGGGCCTGCAGACCACAAGAGCTTTTTCCCTTCACACTCCACTCTTGCAACTCAACCTCCAGTGGCCAAGGAGCAGAGATACCAACCTAACCTCACCACCCTCACGACCACTGAGAAAGAATGCTTCTCCTCCACGAATGTTTTTTTTTGTTAAGAGGAGAAAAAAAAAAAAAAAAGCATACAGTTGATGTACTACTTTGAATTTCTCTCAGCTCCAAATTCCAGAAAGTGTTATTTCAAAGACTACCAATGCTGGGAAAGCAGTCAGAGAACAGCATGGAAATGCTCATTCTTTTGATAAGAAATCATTTCCCCTCATGTCTCCTTTCAAAAGCTTCTCATTGAACCAATCTCAAGGTTCTGGGCCTGAAGTTCAAATTCTAACCTGTACCATAGAGCTTGTCTCAGTTTCTGGAAAAGGACCAAAGGTTATTTAAAAAAAAAAAAAAAAACTCATTAGTTCTCATTTTCTTGATTCAGAATTCATAATCACTTAAAAATAGCTCATCTTTTTTCTTTCTTTTAAGAGTATAAAAGGGTTCAATATTCTATTATATGTTAAAAAAATGGATTTACAAAGAAAAATCATAGCTTGAAGAAGGTAACAGTGAAACTGTTCAATTAACATTACTTCTCCCTCTCTCCCTCCCTCCACCCACCCTAGTCCTATGACTCTGTGGGAACTGCAGAAACACCATTTTTATGCAAAATTAAATGTGCTAGTTATGGAGTTGTAGATAATGCTATTCTCTATTGCTTGTGAAATGGGAATAATACAACTGTATAATCAGAGTAGCCTTTCTCTCCAAGCTAAATTAATCTTTAAATGTGTTTAAATTTTGAGGCGATTTTTTATGGAAAAAAAAATTCCCTAAAGAAATATCACTTAATAGAGATAATTGTGAAAATATGCCACTGAAACATGATAAACAAATATGCAGGATAATTTGAGTAGGAGAGATTAAGTAGCAAAAGCAGGTAAACTATTTAAAAGGATCAATACAAGTTACAAATAAAACCTTGCTTTCTTTTTCAGATTTCATTTCATTTAACTTTCTATGTCATTCCTTCTGGTCTTTGCAAGGCCCCAACTTCCGGTAAACACTTAGTGTTTTATTTTTAATTAATGTAGAGTGTCATGAGTGTGGCACTCTCCTTTTCCTCACTTCCAGCATCTGTCTCTGTCTTTTCTATTAATGGAGTCTGACCCAATTTTCAGTGTCAATTAGGAAAGTCTTCTGTGATGTAGTTTCAAACTTTCCTAAGACGGCATGCTTCTAAAATGCAATTTCTTATACTCTGGTTTCTCTTCAGATCGTATAAATCTTTCGCCTTTTACTAAAATGCAATTTCTTTTAAGGACACTATGAGAAGAAAACAACTACAGAATATTGTTTTAGTGATGATCCTATTTTGCAATCTACATAAACATGTAAAAGAAACCATCACCATTTTATGTGAAAACAGTAAAACCAATGAAAAGCTAACTTGGTTGCCCTGTTTGGTCTCCATGTCATTTTGTTATTGATTTTAACTAATTTATTTGTACATACCTGTAAGTATGCATCGACAGAGATTACTTACCATAGAATGTCAAGTAGCCAAAAATGGCGGTCAAGAAGTACATAACAAACATGGCGAAAAAGGAGATATTTGAAACCATCTGCATTTTTTTCTGTGATCGACTAAAAACAAAGATAAATGAATTTGAAAAATTAAAAAAAAATGTATTACTGAACTGAAGTGCGGGGGCTAACACTGAGAAACATACTAATTTAACTTTCCTTCCATCAAGTTGGGGCAGATCTGGTCAGCTAGAAACCCCCAGCAATTATGCCAGTTTAAAATAACTTCCTTTAATACCAAATGGATGTTGTGAGGGAGTGATCCATGAACTACACTCCCTTGAGTGTTCTTCCCCATGCTTTTAAAAGAATATCAAGTTCTCATCTGAAGGCAGACAGTACTTTTTAATATTTGTGTTTATTATCTCCACACTGACTGGGCAAAGGAAAAAAAAAAAAAGGCAGAAAAAATTCAAGTGCTCTTTCTCCCAGCTGCAGAGATCAGTGGCAGAGCTAGAACTTGACCTCAGGAGTTGTATCTTGAAGGCTGCTGTGTGGGCTCTGGTTGGCCCATCAAATACCCCAAGAGATGCACCTGGAAGTCTGTGTATCTCCAGAGCAGGAGGTACTCAAGAGATTGCACTGGCGATGAGGGTGGGCTCTCTCTCAGGTCCAGTCTACTCTGGGGTTGGAATGACCCTTTTAAGTTTTTTAAACTGCTCAAATAATTAATCTACAAGACTGTATTCCATAACAGACCACAGATAGTCATAACATTTAGTTGTGTCCTAATACAGAATCTGGGATGTCATGAGAGCGTGGAAAATGAGGAAAAAGAGCAGTACATACTTGAGAAAATGATAAACTAAAAGCAGACCATTAAACTGAAAAGATGATAAAGACATATTTAAATTCTCTAAATGTAGGATCACGAATTTATATGTAGATTTTAAATAAAAGGAAACATTTCAAAATTTGGCCATTTATCAATTAAATATGAAAGGAGAAGAATTGAGAGAGAAGTCAATGCTAAATGACATCAACATTTTTGTCTAAAAATGGAGATGAATAACTATATTGTATATCTTTTCTGAACCTAAGACTATTCCTTGATGACTATTTTTATATAGAATAATCTGATAACAGGAGGCTAAAAAGAAAACACCAGAGGAGATTTATAAGCTGGTCTTTACTCTTCTCTAAAAGGACAATCAAAAATAAATCCATAGAATCATCTTAATAATTTCAAACAACAATATTATTCTTCTGGGCTGGGGCTGTAGATCAGTGGTAGAAGGCTTGCCTAACGTGTCAGGCACTGGATTTGATCCTCAGCACCACATAAAAATAAATAAGTAAATAAAGATATTGTGTCCATAAAAATAATATATTATTCTTTCTAGTTTGTGGCCTTAATATTAATTTCCTATTGTCTGATTTACCAGCCTTTTCTACCCCAACCATCAGGGGAATCAAAGACAGTGCATTTAGCAGTTTCCAGATCAGTCTGAAGATTATCATTACTTGAAAACTAAGCACAAGGGACAAAAAGCAACACAAGTACTTGAACTCTCCTAAGTTAATACAATATTTGAAAATACAAATTAACTAAAAATCCCACAGGATTGGCCACTTTCTATATTTATGGCCAAAGAATACTGCAGATTTCTGGATTTTTAAATACAGTACTTAAGAATGGCAAATGTTAGTCAATGTTGAAACTGGATGATGAATCTGTGGTGGTTCATTATATAAGATTCTATTTATTTATTTATTTATTTTAGTTGTTGATAGACCTTTATTTTATTTATTTATATGTGGTGCTGAGAATCGAACCCCACTGAGCCCCAGCCCCAGCCCATAAGATTTTATTTTAATACAGAACTTGTCCACTAATGAGGGGGCATAAAATGATTAAGATATAAAAATCAAATCTCTTACTCTTTAAGCTCACTGTAGATTGGCAGGACTGATGGGTGGCAGACAAATGCAAATGCAATGGTTGGTAAAGCATACACGGTCTATTTGAAAGAAAAAGAAATAAACATTAAGAAAAAGACATCTTTACCATAAAAATTATACAGCTCACTCCAGTGTTTCCAGAGCTGTTTTTTATCTGACAGCTCTTTAGAATCTCTGGATTATTTGGTAATTAGGAAAGTTTTGATCTCTAAAACAGGAGCAGCTTTTCTCAGAGGGCTTATCTAGTTCTAGCCATTAGGCATTTGTCACATAACGGCTTTAGATCTGGCCCGCCTACAGGGTGTTTATGCACTGCAAGCGCAGTAAACCCATGTTTACGTGGCATTAGTCAGTTACATGGCAATTTTCCTACATCACACTCTCACTGGATCCCCACACCAGCCCTGAGCAGCAGAGAGGCCGTTGCTGTTCTTGGAATCCCTTGGACAGGTTAGGTGATGTGCTTAGGACTTCCACCTCTGTTTGACCGCTCTTTGGCTAGGTCAGGTGCATCAAAGAGTACTTAAAAGATAGCATCTAAAAAGAAAGCTAGTTCCATAGTTCACTACTTTGTATCCTTAAAGTGTGTGAGATAGAGACCTATTTATTCTCTTAGATAAGATTTTTTTTAAACTCTCAAATTCAATATAATTTGTTATAGAAAAGGAAATTGATAGAGAAGGGAAGAAAACTTAGCATATCTCCTGTTCTTACTTTGTTGAAGTTCTATAGGAGACCTGGTCCCACAAAACCCTGGGAGATACAGAAAAGGATCTCATTTTGACACAAGGGATATGACTTGCCTAAGGACTGAAATCCAAGCCTGACAGACCACATAGTCCATGGTTCCCCATAATATCAACCCTATTTTACACTATAAACATTTTTTACATGCCAATATGTGGTGGTAGGTCTATATTTCAACTGTGCAAACTGAACAGATTTGAGGTATTCCTTCTGTCACCATCATATAAACGCAGTGGGCTAAGGGTATCATACTTTGCTTTTAAAGCATCGCCCTGTACTCTAAGAGAAAAGCTGAGATAATTACCCAGAAAGAAATTTTCATAGTGAACGCTCATGGTTTGTCTTAAGCAGATAAGAAGGGGAAATATATTTCCATACATCTCAAAGGTCTCTGAATGGACTGTGGAATACCAAAGCAATGACCCCATGTGTTCTTACAAGAACTAATATACTCAAAACAGTGTAATTTTACAAGTATGAGAAATATATTGGCCTTAATCAAGATGTTCTTGTTTATCTTTAAAGGATAAGGAAACTTACCTTGGAATTGAAAGTAACATATTTTGGCGTACACATGTCAGCATTTGTTGAATTAGCATTTGCTGTTGAATTTAGCTCTCGAATACCACAGGGAATTTGAAATTTCTTGTAGATAACCTGGTATTAAAAAAACACCAGAGAAACTATATAGATTTTACTAATGCCAAACAATGAATAATTGTTACATGGCATTGTACTATGTCAAAATCAAACCATTTCAATCAGCACTTACCACTATTAGGAAAAAGACCATACAGCTCAAGGAAAATCCACTAGTATACCCAAGATATCCTTTAAAAAGTAAAAAAAAAAATAAATTGCTATTATTATTTCATCAATCATTTCATTTCTTTCAATTCATTATTTGAAGCCTAGCTTGGAACTCCAATAATATGCACACATGCCCATGTGAATACAAGATTTATTATTTGACAGTGCTACTTCATTTGGCAAAAAAAAAAAAAAAATTAGGGCTTTGAATAAAAGCATTATATTAGGTGTTTTGATTTCAGTGCTCCCTGGCACACTAGAGAACACAGATTCCCAGAATTCAGGGAAAAGGAGCCTCCCAATTTTGGCCCTAGGCCTGTGTGCTGATGTTCTCTAAGGCAGTCCTACAGGCAAATCCATTTACTCCTCAATCCTCTGTAGCTCTTCATCATGCATTTACTGTATGCACACTGAGTGTCAATTATAACAATTCTTCCCCCAGATGACAGGCACAAGATGTGAATTTCTAGGGATAAATGGCATATCTGAGGAGCTTTACTTGTTCCCCTTAGAATCCAACTGGGATTCTAAGAACTCCATCTGCCTCTCTGCACAGGCTCTAGGAAGGTGAAGTAAGTCGGCTCCTGGGAACTGCATTCTTCTCATCCCTGAGAAAGGGCCCTTCTCTGGCATCATAGAAAAGCCTATACCAACCCAGAAAGTAGAAAATTAAGTACTTAGAAGAAAACAAGTCTACTTAATAAACTTCATAGAAGCTATAGAAGTGTGACTTTTCTTTTTTTTTAACAGGAGGAAAAAAAAATGGTTCATAATTATTTTTGGAAGAACATTAATCCAAAATTTTGCCTTGAATTAGCCCGGATTTTAAGGAAATGCCTCTTAGAGGTTTTTGACTACACAGCAACCTGGCCTCATTACTCAATGTATGAAATTCCCTTAACAGCAGGCATACTTGTCTCCAACTCACAAGCATAGAAACAAATGTCAAAACCAAATGGATGTGACTTGGAGATCATCTGTCATTTTTGACTTTAAACTTTTTCACTCTCCTTTCAGCAAGGGAAATCACTGATATTGGCTAGACTCGAAATTTAAGAGTGATTCATAACACTTTGGGGCATAAACACAAGAAACTTTCTGTCTTGATATTAAATATGAAAATCTGTCTAAATAATCAGAGTATTTATGACCTCATAGGAAGAGAATTCCATTTTCAGGACTTTTCTTAAGGCAGCCTGTATATTGTATTATCATCCCCAAAACCTTCCCTTTGCCCACCCAGTTTAGTAGAGGGACTGCTAAGTCACATACTGATGTGTTTTCCTCACACATTAACACTGGGCCTGATTAATACTTGCAATTTATGATTCACTTAATTGTGACCCTGCAAGTGGAAGTATAAGACAATGTTGTTCATTTTTATGAGGCTTCTAAATCGTGTGGGCACTGTAGAGATTATGGGCAAGATAAAGGCAAGATAAAGATAAAGGCAAGATCTTTCCTTACCTAAATTCTTCAAGAGACACAGAGGGAGAATTATGCCAAAGGTAACCATCACCACCAGAACTCGGCCGTCCACATACCAGGCTCTGAAAGGCAGATAAGCAGCTAGGTTCTATGTTTTGTTTAGAAAGTGACACCCCTGCCCCAGGTAAAATTTCATGATATATTGTAATTCATGTTTATTAGTAATTTTACCATTGATATTTTTAATCATTATTCAGGTATTATCCAAACACTTTAACCCAACCATTACTCCTTTACTACTGCCTCACTCCCAGGTAATGAAAGAAGGGGAATGAGCTTTGTCTCTCATTGGCTAAATGTGGCATTCCTCTGAATTATTTATGTAGTTTCAAAGCTGAATGCATACATTGCATTCTGTCAGATTACAACTTGTCCTATCAATTATTTAAAGAGAAAGTTCCTTTTTGTTTTGCTTGGCTGGTATCAGTGAGAATCAAGTCACCACAGGTAGGCAGTTCTCTCTCGCTGATCCCTTGGATTTGACCTTGAATCCTGAGGATAGAGCACTAGGAACTCTGGCTCCTACAATTCTCCAAAGGAAAACAGAAACTAAGACCAATAAGAACTATTAAACAAGAAAGAGTCAAAATATAATTCCTATGCCAAAAGTGGCTGGCAACATTTTCCAGGGTTAGCAACATCTTTAATGAGGTTTGTTCATATAAATTTTGCTCCCCAAATGCTATAAGCCTTTAAGTAAGAGGCTAGGGTCTTATTTTTTGTATTTTTTCATGTTCTACTTCTGTGTAAAAATATTCTATATCTGTTCTATTTCAAAGAAACTTGATATAGATTTCAGGCTCTTGGGAAAATGCAGTATCAATTGTTTGCAGCATAACAGATGATTCTACCTTTAAACGTTCATATTCAAATGGCTCTCTCTGCTTCCTTCACTTATATATCCCCAAAGAAATTTATTGTTGAACAAAGGAAAAAAAAAAAAAACAGCCTAGGAAAAACTCTGTTTCTGCAATTTTCATAAAACAAAAGCTTTGGTTAGCCTGCATTTAAATTAAAAACATTTTAGTTTTATTAACACACACACACACACACACACGGTCTATAACTTACGAAAATGCCTCTTCCTTTCCCATTAGAAATTTTATGGCAGAGGGTAGTTCATTTTTTACTATGAAGAGGTAGCTCAGCATTGCTGGAGGAAAATGAGAACATTTTTAGAAAGATAATACCAAGGATCATATTGCAAGCTATCTAGAAGACTACCAGCCTGTTCTTAGACTAACCTTCAATAAGACACAAAGGTAGCTTTAGCAGCCCTAGTGGGATATTTGTCTTTAAGTAAGAACGGCTTTCTCTGCCTTACATTCCATGTATGATAACTGCTTGAATTGTGTGGACACCCCACTACCAGAATTAGAAAAGGCAATAAGTCACATACTTTATGTATGGAAAGTATGTTCTCTTTACCTCCAGTGTTCTGTAGAGAGGTGGCTCCAAAGATGACCAGCTTCCCTGTGGTGCCAAAGACTTGTTCTCCTAGCTTTTCATAAACCATGCAGCCTATTTAAGAGTCAAAATTAAGGACACAATCTTGTTGACCATTCCTCAAATTATTTTGTGTCTTTCTCAAACTCAGACAAATAGCAGCCAACTTGGCTATGCAAGGGTTAATGCATTACATTGATAAAATAACATCTTGACATTTTTAAAGGTCAGACATGATCACCATTTCTCCTTTTTCAAGCTGGCTACAGTAGCATTATAATTAAACTCTAGATCATATGGCTTATTTTAAAATATCTCTACCTTACTGGAGGGAAATTCCCACTTTCATCTTTTTCTCAGGTTTGGTATGTACTACTGAAGAACTGATTTAAAAAAGATCCTGGTGTTTGAGACAAAAAGATTCCTTTATGATTAACTACCTGAACAGATCAGGCTAACAAAGAATTATCTTCATAACATTCCATCAATCCCTCTTGTCCTAAATATAATGATAGGCTTCTAGTAGTAATCACATAAGAATTCTGATCATTCATAAAATTTAGTTCAAAGAAACCCGCAGACAAATCTGAGCCAAGACTAATCTGGCTACAGCAAAATTCTAAAGTGATCAAAAAGCTCATATCAGTAGATACTAAAATTGTTATCCATTCATTAAAAACAACAACAAGAAAAACTGCCTGAGTAGGGTGGCACACACATGTAATCTCAGAGACTCAGAAAGCTGAGGCAACATCAAAGGCAGCCTGGGCAACTTACAAGACCCTGTCTCAAAACAAAAAAATAAGAGCTGTGTGTATGGCTCAGTTAGTAGAGTATTTGCCTAGCATGTGGGTGGTTCTGGGTTCAATCCCCAGTACCCCCAAAAGAAAAAAAGACAGAACAACAACAAAAAACAAAACACAACGACCTGTTAAATTTCTTTATGACAGTTCCAAAAAGCAATATGGATCAGGCTATAATTAAACCTTTATTTAATCTCTCATAAGACTGGTGTTTAAACTAGACAATGGGTAGATCCTAAATTTATTACAAAATGTTCCAGTCATCTGTATACAATAATAGCTGGCCAATGTGGTTTTAGCTAATGTAAAAGTCAAAGTATTACAAACATAATCCAGTGTCCCAGGAATAGAAAATAAACACTTCAGGTATTACACTGCCCAGAGAACTTGAAGTCCTTGGTAGCTGGCTCCCTCCCACACTGCCTCAGGAGTAACATTTTCTCCTTGGAATATGCACCAAAGAGGATAAAAGGTCTATTTACTTTTTAAAACCTTGGAGGTTATGATATAAAACATGCAATCTTTGTTCAGGATTTATGAAGGCCTAAGGGAAAACAGAAGCCTTGAAAATGAAGTCATCTTAAAGTAGAAAAACAGATGCAACTAAGGGTTCACTTTAAATGACAATGCTATTTGCTCATTGCTCATGACAATTTAAACTTGAGTGCCTGTTTCTCTAGGCAAATAACACAATAAGTCTTCCAGTTACTGTAGGTCAAAGTAGTCTTTCTTTTTAATAATCAAATTGCTGAACAAAGAGAGCATCATTTGTTCACAATTCACCATGAACATTATTCACCCCAGCCTTAACAAAATTAGACTTTTTCTCAGCTTACCTGTTTCCTTGGAACAGATCAATAGAAGGTTTATTGAATAGATGGACAGCAATGTTACTGAAGTCAAAAGTATCCTGAAGCAAAGAAAATAAATTCTGTTGTAATAACTAGAAAACAGCATATTCTGATCTTGCATTCTAGAAGGGCAAAGATTTATTTATATGGTTAACACTATTTGTTAATAGTATCCAAAATGTGGAAACTGTTAGTCACCCTGCTTTAGAAACCTCAATAAAAATGTCCTACCAAATAAAGAAGTGCTCATTAGAATCTGAGTAAGTCTACCAGTTCAAGTTCTTTATGTAATTCAAAGCCTAAACAGCTCTCTGGGAACATTTCAGTTGAGATGACTGTAACACCACATAGTGAAACAACACATTTTTAGTCTAGGGTATGGATAGTCTCTCTTTACATCTGGGTGAGAAACTGGTTTGGGGGTGGGGAGTGAAAGAAAAAGCTTGCAGGGAGTGACCTTCCAAGAGAGACCACGTGACTCTGGGCAACTTGCTTCACTGCTTCCATCTGTGGATTGAAGACACAAGCCAAATGATGTGACCTTTCCCCCTATGGCTATTTTCAAATCTATACATTGTACCACTTATCTAATTCCCTTGTTTTTTGCACGAGGTTCCTCTGAGATGCATACCCATCTCTTCCAGTGGGGAGATTCTGACAATCAAGCATAATGAAAAGGCTTTTTTCAATGATGAACTCATGTTTTTGTTTTAGTACATCTGGCTCATTATGAAACCCTTCTCAAGAAAATTTACAGTTAAAATGATGTGGGAGATTACATAGATTATTTCTGAATCCTTTGGTTAAAACTGACATGATACTAAAAATAAAGCCCATTTATTAAAAAGAGGGGGAAAAAAATTCCATTCCCCTAGTGAAACCACTCACTCTCTGAAGTAGGGAAATATAGACCTAGAACAATAAATTACTGCAATTGATTCCATGTTTGAGTAAATAAAGCAATTATTTTCCTAGCAAGTGCTGTTGAGAGGCACTTGGCACAACATGCTGTTCTTGGCGGGGCTCCTACTCCTGATCCTCCCCCACTGCACACCTGTTGAACTCCAGGGGCTCTTGGCCCAGCTCAGAGGCCATCTCATAGGGCCATTCCTTTGCTCTGGGTGGAATGACTGTTCCTTAGTCTCTGGTCCTATAGCATTTTGCTTCTCCTGTGTGCAAAATGCTGTGGAGGAAAACAGGAAGTACAGAATGGTCACCAGCTAAACAGATGGACTGACAGAAATTGGTCAGAAAACAAGAGAGTCAGAGCACTTGGGAGGAAAAATAGAAAACCCAACACTTTGTGTATAGGCCAAACTGTCCTGCCAATAAAGGGGAATTTAGATTAATTATGCTGATTGAGGAGATACCTTCAGATGCATATTTATTTAGCTTAAGATGGTAAGTGATTAAGGGGGGTGACTAAGATGGTAAGGTAAGTTCCTTACAATCTTTGCTGGTTAAAGGACATATAAAACATTGACAGCAAGTGTTTATTAATCAACCCAGTAGCTTTGACATATGTAATAAAACATGATTTGATATGCTCTGTGAGAGAAAAAGATACAGGATCAAATTGTAGCTTGATTTTTTTCCCCTATAAGATAAATAATATTTATGTTAAAAAAGTAAACTTTGAGTTTTATTCAGAGTTTTCTCAAGTTCAGGGATCCTGAACACTAAGTGGCGACTTCTACATCTGCATATGACAGACCCTGGAGGCACAGAACAGGACAGTATGGGCTTCCCAGTGAGGACAGGATGGGTGCCATCTTAGGATTTTGTCATGTGCTATTCTGGGGTGATCATGTGCCCTAATCGGACTCTGCTGGGGCCTGATAAGAACAGTACAGGAGGTATTACTACAGACCCAAGGCTGTGGTATGACCTTGCAGAAAGATGTGCCTAGCAGGAAGTATTAATTACTTAGCATCTATATAATGATTTATCAAAAGCTCTAAACTTGGAAGAAACTAAATACTTAATAGCAAAAGAAATATTCTATGAAAACATTTGCAGTGTTCTCTTCACTAATAGCCCCTGGAACCACATGGTTGTCTCTTCACGCATTCAATAGTTGAATCTCTTAGTGGATGATGCTCATCAGTGGGCCTCTGGCCCTTGTCAAAGAATTGAAGAATTTCTTCATAAAATCCTGTTACACCTTTTCCTTTATCAGATGGGATAAGTGCTGATCAGAGAAGATTGGAGTGGGATGATTCCCGATTTTGTTCCCCACTTTAAAACACAGCAGGATGAAGTGCTCCCACAGCGACGGAAACAGTTCTGCTCCCATGTTTAAAGGACAGAACACTGCACCCCACAGGAAAGGACACACAGCGAGTGTCCCAGAGCCTCTGAATTTAACCATTCAATCTGTGAAGACTCTCTTTCATCCCTCACAGAATATGAATCTTTCCTTTCATGACTGAAAACTAACATAAAACAAAACTTTTTTTTCCCCTTGTCAGGCCACTAAAAAGCAAACTGTGTACGTAAAATTCTAATAATTCTTCTAGGATACCAGAAACTAGCATTAGCAAGATTAAAATTTAGAAAAGGACACCTCTTTATTTAGATTCTTAGAAATAAGCAGTATGTTGTCTAATTGACTCTAACAGATCCCACAATGGTTTAAGAAAACCAAGTCGGAGATGCTGTGAAACATAGAAACCATGACATTTAAAGGAAAACACTGAGAGGAACAATGGGAGAGACCGTGAGGGCTTATTTAAACACTGGTGTTGAGTAGCACGATGCCCCTATTTGTCTAAATAGGTATTTGAACACATAATTATGGCTTCCTGGAAGAGAAACACTAGCTGGTATTCTTGAGTTAACAAAGGGTAACACGAGTAATTCCTTTTTTCATTTTATCTGGATTATCATTTAAGCCTCCACACTGTTAACCATTGGCCGAAAGTTTTAATACGGCTGGCACAAACACTGGTGGCTGGAAAAGGCATTTTTACATGGTACTTGGGGTTTTGAGATGTTGATATTTCATACGTGTGTCTGGCCTTGACTAGAGGGGATCTAGGGCATGTAACTACATGGCCCGTGGGGAAGGGGCGGTGGGAAGGTCAGAACTGTGAAGAATGTGATCAGGAAATTTTGTCTCCTGAGAGGATTGCTAGGGAACTCTAGAGGATTTCTAGACTTGAATCAGGGACAGACCTTCGCAGACTACCTCGGTCTAGATCTACACCCAGTACAAGAAACCGCCACACTCCACGCAAACATACAGGTACCAGATTTGCAGAATATCTTCTGAGAGGGGACCCAGTAGGCAACTTGTTCTGTTTCTGGATAGTTCTGTGCTTTGGAACTGAGGCTGAGCTGAAATCACTGCTGCTATTCTACCCTTGGTCCTCACTTTACCCTCAAGATCTGTTTGAATCTACCTGAAATCTAACCCCTCTTCTACCTAACAATCCCTCCGAAGGAGACTGGACACTTTGACTTAAACACCTCCAGACTTTTCAACAGTTCATCTTGTGAGAAAGGGTTCAGATGATTTCCTCTTCCAAGGTCTGTGTGCTGAGACAAGTACAACACTACAACTTCAGTTTCTGTCCAGATAGTGCAAAGCATGACGTGATTTTCGGTTCTCTTGAGTTGGACGTCATATTTCTTTTAAGGCAAACTATTTTGGGATTCATTTTTATGACAGTCATGTCACACTTCTCATTCTTTTTGAGCTCTGGTATAAAATGCTCCTAGGCCAAGTCTGCCTGATTCTAGCCTATCCTGTCTACTTTTTTTAAGTGTGAAATTCTACATTTATTTTTATTACATTTTATCTCTCAAGTCTTGTGCTATCTTTTAAAATTCTTTTTTTTTTTTGGTTCTACCAATCTCAGCAGCTTCGTATCTTCAGTGTACCTTCATGAAGCCTCTGATCCTGACTGAATAGAACAAGACAATCTGCAAATGACTCACTGTCTAGCTGACTGCTCAAGCCAGAAGCCTGGAAGTCATTGTTGATTTCTTACCTATTCTCTCATTCCTCATACTCAATTCACAAGCAAAGCTCTTATCATTTCTACCTCCAGAATATATCCCAAATACATAAGCTGCTTTCCCTATCTCCACTGACACCAGTCCAAGGAGCTATCATCTTTAACTTCTGATAACTTTTACCCATCTCCCTTTTTGTACCTCCTTAGATCTATCCTTCACCCAGTAGCCAGAATCATTTTTTATTTTATTGCTTTTTTGTGTCTCCATCACCAGATTACAGGACAGGCCATGGTGACTGAATTCACCTACTTACCTGTTTACATTCAACACCAAACACTCAAACAATAGACTCTTAGCTAAGAATCAGTGAACTTACAAATATTAGGATCTCGTTTGCAAGTTAGGTGAGTCTATATCAATACCTTGGTAAAATCAAGACTTATTTAGGATAGTCCCTGTGACCTACTAGTTTATCCAGATGTTGAAAGATGATGTTAGGCTGAGTTAGAAGGTGCACATCTGTAATCCCATCTAATTGGGGGAGTAGGGAACTGAGACAGGAGGGTCACAAGTTCAAGTCCAGTTTTGACAACTTAGTGAGACACTGTTTCAAAATTTAAAAAAATAAATAAATAAAGGGCTAGAGATATAGCTCAGGGGTAGAGCATCCCTGGGTTCAATCCTCAGTATCAAAAAAGAAAAAGTTAATTTAATGCCATTTAGGGAAGTTTTAAGTCTCTTTGGAGCAATATTTTCTGTGTTAACTGCACATAAACAAGCCATTTAGTAATTTGCTCTATAACATTGCTTGGAGTCCACTTTTTGCCACTTTTGAAAGCTGGGATGAAATCTGCCTACTTCCAATCCTCAGGGATACTCCTGCTCTCCATGAGTTCTTAAATATTTGTGACAGAGGTTTAAGATACATTTACTCTATTTGCTACTAGAAAATTTGACTCATATCAAACAATGAACTTCTACACACTTATGTTTTGAATCATATTGACAGGAATGTAATTCTTTATTCTTCCATAACTTACCCAAAGATTCTATGGATGAAGTTACAATAAATTTCATTTTAAAAATACAATATGAG